TGGTGACTCACAGTAAAGCCACATTACTCATCCCTACCTGCCCGGCCGCCCCCCTCTCTCAAACATTACTCATCCTCACTCGTCCCGCGGGAGTCGAACTCGTGGTTGTTACAGGATTCTACGTTAAATTTCCCCGATAACTTATCTAAATGGCCCACTAAAACCCAGAATAAGGTCAAAGTGGCATCAAAACAACACTGAAACTACCTTAATAAAATGCCTCTCTTTTTTTTTTTAGACCAATAAAACTTAAGACATGGCGATAAAGATCTTTGAAAATACAGACCGAAGACTCTCAAATGTCCTACGTTAAATCTTCCGATGGTAAGGATTGACACAGCATATATAGACACTAAACTTCTTGTCCCGTTACACCATCTTGGACGGACACCCACTGTATGTATCGTAGCTTAAGTTCGCCTCTGGAATACACATCCTCACATCAACATCCGAGGACCCAACATCCTTATCAGCCCCCTCCTCGATCCCAACACACCCTCGCCCAAAATGAGAGAGAGAGAGAGATAGCGAAACATCCCACACGGTACCAGACCAGCATCACAAAGGGTCACGCGATAAATATTCCTTTTAAGTGAAGTTGTACAAGAATCCACACGAATTGATTAACGTAAGAATTTCTCATTTAAAAACATGATTAAAATTACACTGAGACTCTACCTAACTTAGCACCAAATGGGAGAATAAATTAATGTGTATACTGTAGATAATATAAAGAGAGACCAAGTATGATGTTAATGTTATTTCTGTGTTAAATCTTAAGTCAACCAGTTAAGAGGATTTCTCAACTTACTAACATTCGTGAATCCGAGGTCAGGATTTATCTTAATAAGTGGCAGCGACAGGTAACACTCAGGTAGACACGGACGTACACCCTGGATCTGTTTTTGTCATCTGGGCAGGTTCAAACCGCAACACACACACACACACACACACACACACACACACACACACACACACACACACACACACACACACACACACACACACGCACACACACACACACACACACTTGAATGGGTACGTAAACACCTATACTAAGCACCAATACACAAAAATATACATACAAAAATAAACACATACACAAGCACAAAAACATACACGTCAACACACACAAACCTATACACACACCAAAACACACACACACCAAAACACACACACACCAAAACACACACACACACACACACACAAAACCAAAACAATACCACTCCGTCACACACTCAACCCGCCACCCCTTCCCCACACGTCAAGATAACACAAACAGGTTATCAGTGTCGCAGGTGTCGTGGCACTACTAGACATCACTGTGGCGAAACTTATGTTGGTTTCCCGCGACCCACCAAAAAAAAAAGGATGCATATTGAACAGGTCCCCCCCCTCTCTCTCTCTCTCTCTTGACATTTAGACGAATTCTCTATCACTGCTGGAGAGAGAGAGAGAGAGAGAAGGAACTTATCTCACTTATAGTTCCTCACCTGCGGTCTCTCCCCATTGGTTCCTCACTGGTTACTCATTCAGGTAGTTCGTCACTCAGTCACTCATTTACACAAGGACATAAGATTTAGGCCACACGAAAATCGAAATTGCACATGACCGTATCACCCTCCTCCTCCTCCTCCTCTTCTCAAAGACCACACCACCGTCCTACTTCTCTTCTCACACAAAGACCGCACCACCCTCCTCCTCTTCTCGAAGACCGCACCGCCATCCTCCTCCTCTTCTCAAAGACCGCACCGCCATCCTCCTCTTCTCAAAGACCGCACCACCCTCCTCCTCCTCTTCTCAAAGACCGCACCACCCTCCTCCTCCTCTTCTCGAAGACCGCACCACCCTCCTCCTCCTCTGCTCAAAGACAGTACCACCATTCTCCTCCTCTTCTCAAAGGCCGTACCACCCTCCTCCTCCTCTTCTCGAAGACAGCTCCACCGTCCTCCTCTCGCTAACAGCTCCGACTAACACTTCAATACGCGAGCTTCACATCTTCCTGGGACTACTAGACGCTACAAGGCTTCACCTGTTACACACCTGTCCCCATCACTCCGTGCTCCCGATATTCAGTGACGTAAGTGCAAAACAGATGAGCTACGAGAACCGCACGAGCTAGACACGTAATTTGTGTAAATATTACGTTTGTTTATCTTTCCGCTTTGTGACCTTCACCTCGATCTGTCATCATAAACTGCGAGTGAAAATTTTAACTAAAACTCGTCCACTTGTTACCTAAGATCTACACGCGCATAATGGGACTTCAGTAACTGCTAGCACAGTACTTACGATATCAGTGTCACTAAAATTCGTGGATATTAAAACGATTAAAGTAATACCAATATTATAACAATACAGTATTATTATTATTAAAGTATAACAACTGGCGGCTGCCCGACGAACGCATCTGGCGGCGAAGAAAACGAAGTGGAGAAGAATTAAAAAGAAAAATATGAACGACTTCGACCTAAACATTGGTACAGTACTTGGTAATGGTGTACATTCATGGGTTCGCTGTGACCTGCTAGTCTTATCTGATCTATTTGCGATTCAAATTAAATCAGTTTTATCATAATGCATAATTTTCTTTACACCGTTCAACTAATTTCTGGCATATATATATATATATATATATATATATATATATATATATATATATATATATATATATATATATATATATATATATATATATATAAAGACGTGAATACTCGTGTCGCCGACCTCGATGTCGCTGCTGACAATAACAATAATAATAAATTTACAACTCGCCTGAGGTCTCGCCACACCACCTGCCGCTGTCATTCAAGGGAATGGTGTAAGTTTCCGCCTATTTTCTTCTTTTTCCTGCATAAGGAGACAGGACCCAGGGGCGGCAAACTGTCCACTCAAACACTGAGTTACGAAAATATTTGTGAAAGACAAGCGTGTACCTGTTGGGGTGTTGTAAACAGTTCAGAAAGTGAGAATAATATTAGTGTGTGGTACAAGTGTTGTGAGGCTGAAGGTTGTGGTGTTGTGTGGCCCTGTACACATAACTAGTTAATTTACCCGTTGCCTCAGTTTTGATCAGAGATCACTTAACCAGACTGTACCAGACATCGTGCGCGTTTGGGCGTGTTGACATAATTTAGTAAGCACAAAGAGTCCAGTAGATCAAGGAATGTTATCAGTCAGTGAGCACGTGTGACCCGCCGGGAGTGACGTGAAGCCTCACACCTTACAGTGATGCTTTCCTTAGATGTTTGTATTTCTTATCGCTGATTAATTAGTACTGTGCTGTATATCATGTAACGTGTACTGCTCTTCAGTCAACATGGAGTGTGTAAGTGTGACTGTAACACCGTACAAACGTAGAATTATACGAGTTAACACTAAGACTACACCCCACATATTAACAGTGTATAATTACATGCTCTAACGGCGTGTAACTCATACAAACTGACTGCAAATTTTGATAAAACTGTGTCAATCATGTAACAGTGTATCTGTGACTCACATTTCAGAACCGTAACGTTACAAAACTGTTATGGACCGTGTAACAGCACGACTGTAAATGCAACGTTACATCACTGTACTGCAGTACATGTGACTATACTCTGGAGTTTTATCTCTTATTTTAAAGTTGGTGGAATAGTGGAATTGCTAACTTTGTTAGGCGCTTAAAGTCCTTGGTTGTTGAAGCGCAGTAATAACATTACAACAAGTGACTAATACTGTGTTATTCCAACAATGTATGACTATACATCATTTTGACAGTAACACTATCACAAATACTCAACGATTGTAACGTGAGGTAACAATAGTACCGCAATGCAGTAGGTACGAGTGAATGTACAACAGGTGGCAGTAACACTTCTGTACGTGTGTAATATTGAAAACTGCTGCCTATCTACCAAATTCTACCCCCGCATGTTCCTCATGCAACTCATGTAGGATAAAAGAAAACATTTACAATTACTCGTACAGTAGTTGTGTAACAAATAACTGAATGGGTGCATAATAACAAAGAAAACTGCAAGATGCTGCGTAATTGACGATTATCCCTATTAAGCATATATATATATATATATATATATATATATATATATATATATATATATATATATATATATATATATATATATATATATATGTGTGTGTGTGTGTGTGTGTGTGTTTTGATAAGGCACTTAATCTTCTTAGTTGTGTTTTCTTAAGTTTGTTGGAACTTTGAACATAAATAATTTAAAACAAAATACTTTTTCTAGTCTATAGGCGAAGATCGAGGGGCGACATGATAGAAGCGCATGAATGGAAAACGGGATTAAAGGTGATACCGTATAAATAAGCATGTACAGGTATTGCACTGTACTGTACTTAAACTATCAAATTATGAGAAATTTAGAATTAGGAAGTAAGTAGCTGCACATTGGCTCGGAAACTGAGTTGTGGGTAAGTGGAACAAATTACGAAACACCATCATTAACTCGAACTCGTTGTGAAGTTTCAATATAGGATCGAGAATGGAGATATACGTGTCATAATGGGTTGCGTGTTAACAGGAACTACCTCGCATGGACTAATGGACCTACTACAGTTTTCTTGAGTCTTATGTTCTTAAATAAATACAATCACTGGTAAAGGCACAGGTTGCTACGTGTTACGCCTCATGTAATTCTATAATCAGAGGAGCTATAATATACAGTATGGCGCCGTGGTGACGCAAAACAAATGATCATAATCCAGCTAATACGCAAAACAAATTATCATAATCCAGCTAATACAAACTTTATATTGAGGATGTAAATATGTTTGAGGACAACAGTACTCAACTTCTCATGAGTGATATGAGTGATATAAGCCACGTCAAGAGGATCCAGTGTAAGTTATTCACTGGATCCACAACCACGACCTACAAACCGTGGCTTTAAGCAGTAATTGTACCGTGACTTTCAAGTGTGGCACGAGAACACCCGCTTTATGAAAGGCAAAAAATTTCCAAATAAATAAATTACCAGTTTAGTCTTCCTATCAACGCCGAGCGGAGGGACACGCGGCTGTTACAACGGTTGTCAGTGAGGCACGTAGAGGGAAGGGTGTCTGCTGTTGTTGGTATGTTGCTCTCTAGACCATCTAACACACTGCTGCCCCCTCATGTGTCATTCAGTTCACCTCCAATATTAACTGAAAGTAAAATTGCATCATGGTAACTGGAACTAGGATTTCAACCACGCTCAGAAATATTACTTATACACCTGACTTGTTTTTTATATAAAAAATATATATATATTATGCAAACAAAAGGAAATTTAAGGAATGTCATACAGCAATAGCTGCTGTTACCAAAGCTCACGCACTGTACTAGTCCTTGCTACGACCACGACTGACGCTTGTAGGAACTGTTTGAAAGGTATGGCCCCCTCCCCCTCTGGCACACACTGCAGTTTACCACACCGCACTGCCTCTCTATACCTATAAACTATCTTCTTCCTATTAAGAATTTTGTTGAGGGTTCCCAATGACTACTGTAACATGTCGTCCTTTATCAACGACCTTCCTAATATCTTGTCTGCTACCTTACACTCTTCTCACTTAATTAAGACTCAGTTCTCAACAAACACACCAGACCTTCTTGAGGTGCGTTGCCTGGGTGTAAACTTTACTGCCTCGCTCGTTGGATTCAGTGCAAAGTGTAACGCTTCCTGCTATACTTCACTACTCTTAAGCCACTTCCGCCCCAGTGCCCTATACGCTGACCAACAATAGCTGCACACATTTATATTAATAAAGGATAACTCGCAATCTTTATACAGTTCTTTTCTCTTTAAAAAAATATCGTACCGCTAACCTACTCTCGTCAAACACACCAACACACTTGTTGTCTAAAATTACAAAACTATTAAAACTTCCCTGCAAAGATAACAGAGCGCCTCGGCTAGTGTTTTAACTATTTGTAATAAACATTTGCTAGTATTGTATATATCGCAAGCACCAAATTTCCTCCACGAACTATAGGACGTGACAATAACCCGCCGTAAGCTTGGTTAAGTCCAGTATACAAAGGCCCCTATGGGAACATTACAGAAAGACTTACCGAACAAATATATGCACGTATCAACAAGAAAAGCAAATTATTATTTCGTGTTTCACAGCAGAGGTAACAAGAGCGAATGTGTTCTAGTAAATACTTCCACACTCGGGTTCATGTCACAACTACGCACCCTGTCAACAATGTTATATTTCTTTAAGTAGTAAACAATATCCTCGTGTTTCGAAGACAATCTCTACATAAATGTTATAAATTAAGTTTTATAAAATGTGAATCGGTTAATCAATTCATAACACTTAAGTCGCTTTAAAATTGCATAAAGTTTCATGTAGGAAATGTGTAACTGACAGAGTCTGTAGTAAATTGGTTTAAGTATATATCTTAGCATCAAAAGGCAAGGTTGAGTAAACAGATAATGAAGATAGTCACTCAAGTTCGGAATGTGTGGCATCCCTCACACCGGACCCTGCTAGACCTGCACTACCAAGTGATGATCAGTGCGTCACATCCCAGCTTGTGGTAGCAGTTATCCTCACGCCCTCCAGGAGGTAAAAATGGTCCGCAAGGTTCCTTACCTTCCACAGGAGCCACCGCCGCTGGACCGCAGGAGCTCCTACCGTCCTGTCGCGACCGCAACGCAACTCAGAATGACAACCCGTCAAAGTGTACGGTCAGCAGTCCCGTACCCTCCGCCCCCAACTGGCCACCACTACCTTCAGCGTCACAATCAGCCTTCTGCTATGGCCAGTGTGAGGTAATGCAGCATCGGCACTCTCACCGTCATAGCAAGTATACCAAAACACTGCACTTTATTCTACCCAAGTTTTAATAGCTGGTGATTTATCCTGGCGAGATGAGCAACATTGCCCAAGGCGCTCTGTTTAGCCTGAGATGCAATGGTTTCAGTTTTGGTGCCTTTTATTGACACGGAATATGTTTCCTCTAATTACGAAAAGAAAAAAATAAGGAATACAATAATGACATGATCCATCGGGAGAGAGACAGCATCCACACTTTGTGGTTTACTTTTTTTTAAATTATATCAGTGAAACCATAAGGCTTGTCCACCATGCAGGTAAACTTAAGAGGCTCCGCCCGCTCAGTGAGATGGACCAATCAGAGAACGGGGATCATCTTACATCACTGCGGGAGATCTCTCGGAGGCCACGCCTCCCCCTCCCCCTCCACTCTCCACCAGGGTTACAAACGACAATTCAACCTGGAGGAATTTTGATTCAAGCAAGCATAGATATTTACGGACACATATTGAATAATTCCGAATATAAATGACACTGCGCGTTAATTGAAAATCAATGACAATTTAATGATAGGTATTATAAGGTCACAAATATTAGGTGAAAATTTTAAATTTTAATACTGGGATGTAGATAGAACGAGTTTTTTTTTAAGTTATTGTAAATAATTTGTTGCCCGTTACAGGTTTGTCTATATTAAAACGCTCAATCGCAAACATATCCAATAAATATATGCATGATAATTAAATATTATACATACTGTACACACATACTAATTATATTATCATGAGAATATAAATGTGATAAGTATGGTAAAACGTGTAATTAAACAAAAATTCATTCTTGTCAAAAATGAAGATGAACAATATATATATATATATATATATATATATACTTTTTTTTTCATTTGCAATTATTATCGATGGGAGGATCCGTGTAATTTGTTTCTGATGAGAATCATTCCCAATATAACGAAAGTGTCACCGTCTCACTCACAAGTGTGTGGATGACTCCGCTTAGCTGGACGATCAATAATATCAATTTCAAATTCAATCTCAAACAGGAGAGCTACTGATGGTATGAGGCGAACCAATAGAGGGAATAAGTAACCTCGTATATTTCTGGGTCCGTACTTCATAAATCTAGTGTTGCCCGTCCAACTGAATCTCCAGGACACACACATTAAATTTTTTTAGTATTTATATAATCTTCCTACAACACAATGAAGATGCGCATGCGAATTGATTTTGTACTGAGATAATTAGTAAATTATTATATGCCTTGAAGCTTGACCAAGTTGTGGGCTTACAATATGTCGTTCCCAAATAGCTCTGTTTATACTGTACGTATTTAATAATTTATTTATATACATGTTTATTTGACACTTTTTTGTAATTTTGAGCTAATAATCTCCATATCCTTACTTAGAAGACAAGTGTAAAAATACCAATTTTTGGTTCGTCTTGTTCCTCTTTCATCACCCTAGTTTTGGGGCCATCTATTGTACTATTAATTCTCCTCGATGTATGGGTCCCTCTCCGTCCCTAACTCTTCGCCCAAAGTTTCATCATATCAATACCCTTTTATTTCACAGTACTCACTCGCTCAACTTCTTTGTCTAAGTTCTGTATAATGATTTGTTATGAACTTATGAGTACTTTAAGGTGTTCGAGATGATTACGAACGATGCGCAAATGATTAGGTTTTGAACGCTTTCCGTAAAATTCTGTCCCTATCTAGACAACTACACTTTTACTAATATAATGTATACAGTAGGTAAATCTGAAGTTTTATTTTTAAATCTAAATAAATCAAGTGATTCTGACATTGATTAATTGTCAACGAGTATACAGCTGAATGGGTACACCTCAGCTCCTATAGAGTCAGTTTAAGCCCGAGCCGCCTAACCTTAAGCAATATAGTTGAGAAAATGAAGTCGGTCGAGTGTAGCACCGGTCATCGACATCATGGTTACGAGAATCCCCATCCTAATGACAGAGATGAGAAAATTTACACGCGTTAATCTCGTAGTCTGATTATATCGGGTTGAGTGGTGTTTGATAGCTGTTGAATTAATTACCTTCTTATAATTCACCGTAACAAGTAACAGTCAAAGATTGCCCGCATTGATTTCTGTCTTGAGATTATGAGTCTCCCCAGTGCTTCAGTCACGGATTTACTGACTGAGATTGTGAAGGGTGTTGCTGAATGGGTTCGTTTAGCACGTGGCGGCAACTTTGGACCTAAGACATCAGATCCCACAATCTAAAATGTTTGTACATGTCTTTCTGTATAACTAAAAATTAAAGGATTACCTTTACTAGTTAACTCAAGGCACACACACAAAAACATAAAGAAAACTTAAGGCACAACGATGACGACTAAGTAATCTTGTTAGAAATAAAAAATTGAGTCAACAGGAGCCGGCTATAGGCTACTAGGTACTGTACGACGCAAGATACTGTTGTACAATACTTACTAGCTAATCCAAGTTCCTTACAAAAACAAGATTTTTACATACAATGTGCACACTAGTATATGAGTATTAATGTAAGGCGTGAGACAAAATTGATAATCTGTAGTGTGCCATTTACAAAAATTAAAGGAGTTCTGAATGCTTGTACAGCATTGAAGGACACGTTGACATAAATGTCCAGTGGGGAAGCTCCACGCATGTTTTTGTTGTGTGTACCGAAAATTAAAATAAAATTTAAAATGGTAATAATAACTACTATTAGTATAACAAATAATTGGTCGAGGCTGTATACTGCTAAGTCACGCGACAAGGGCACCCACAAAATACCACTAACTGTTCCGCTCTGCAAAAATTCATTATTATACTGTACTTCCCCGAGTACAAAATTCCGCCGAATAATTTCTCAATGTGCGTTTTCCTCGTTTCTTTCTTTTTTCTTGGGGGGGGGGAGGGAATGTGTATTATAGAAAGAGCATTGTGTTGCTAAAAAAAAAAGTGAAGCTGTGTGGATGATGAGTAAAAAGTTTCTGGGGACAATATGTTTACTGTCGCATTCGCGGATCTAGGGAGAAGGTTATAACGAACCTGATTCTTTGAAAAATTTCTTGTATTATTTTTATAGAAACAAGTTTCCTTCTAGATCTAGACTTCATGTACAGTACTTTGGCAGAATAGTCCTCAAACGTAAACAAAGTACTTAATTCCCTGAGGTTTTAGTTGAGCCGAAGAAGTCAAACTCGATTCATTTGTTAAAAAAACAAAAAACAATGCAACTTAATATACAGTACCCCTTTCTCCAGTCACTCACAATTGAAACTAATTTAACACTTCACGTCTACTATTATTTAACACTAGGCTTAATGCTATAGTATATGGAAGCCTCTTGTACCACTATGATAAAACCTCTGGTTACTGCCCAGGAAAAGTTTTACAGACGATAACTGACTTGAAAAATACTGACCACACGTTTGAAGAGGATGTTATTTCAATTTTAAGGATCTCTCACTGCTGAGCTTCATCTAATGTCCATCTCAGTCCACAGAAAGGCACAGAGCCACTGATCACCTGTTGAAGTTTGCCCGTGGTAACATCTTTTTCTGTATTTATTGGCTTGGATTATTTGAGTGGTCATTGTTAATTATAGTAAATTCTATTTTTGTCTTTTAAATATAGAATATTACTTTTTATCCGAAATTAAAAAAAAAGAACCATCTAGATGTTTTGCGTTCTAAAAGACAAACCTTTCCGCGAATATTGACTGTGATGTCATATACGCCATCAGGGATAATAATACTGTAATACCTAACCTATCTTCAAATATTTTAAAATTAGGTATTGGTAAGTAGATTTAGTTATTTAATTAGTATGTTAGAAAAAGTGGTCCTGAAATTCGCCAGGAAAACCGTGGACAAATTCCTGGAATGCGTGTGGACAAGGAATCTAAAACTAGAGAAGGATGGCCCACTCTTATGGGCAAAAGTGGCGGTTTAAAGCGGCTGGGGAGTAAACTAAATAATTACCAGGCAAGGAATAAAAACGGGAAGACGAAAATTTCAGCGAAATCATTATTTTTTTCTTTTGTACATTTTTTGTAGCAACTGCAACGGAGCCACGGTATTGTGCGGTTACTAATTGCTCAAGCAACGCGTTTTAGGAACAGAAACATTTATTTATTTCGATTTCCGAAAGACTAAGAGAGGCAAGTCGTACACGGTACTCTTACTTCTGTGAATGTTGACCAGTGGTTTATATATGAGCGCTTTCTTTATCTAACGCATTTAGTACTGATAATGTTCCACTCCTCAGAATTTTAACATCAGTGTCATGGAATTTATAAAATGAGCAGGATGCTGTTGTATTTTCGAAAACACAGGCTGGAACTTAGAAGTTTTGGGTCATTACTTGTTTTAAGACCACACGACTTTTTGGCTGAAATGATGTTTTTCCTGTATATTTCGATGTATTTTCAATGGATTTTATGCCTCCTTCTTGGGAAGAATTCATTAAAACCTTACCAATTCAAGTTGTATGGTAAAAATATGCAAAAAATTAACAAATCCAAACCAAACCAACTTTCCCTACCTAACCTAGCTTTATCTAACCTAAAAAAAATAATATACTGTATAGTATAATTTTTCCCAAATCAATTCTCAAATAAAAATTAAATTTTAAAAATTAGCAGGGAAATCTACTGTACTGTACACAAAAAATGTATATATATATATATATATATATATATATATATATATATATATATATATATATATATATATATATGAAAACGTGAATATTCCTCAATTCTACATTCACATTTTCTAAATTTGAATGAGGACAATATTCACTTCTCTCAATTATGAAAGGTTGCCTGTGGTTATACATGTACTGTAGTAGGTCTGGCATCTTTGTGATAATTACACCCATGATAGAGAAAAACACTAAAATAACTGCTAAAATAATTTACAGACTGTGTTTTCCTCCTAACTGGATGTTGCACATGGCATGACTCTGTTTCCCTACTGATATAAACAAACAATATTTTTTCTTCTTTTAGCT